TGTTATTCTCTGTTCTTGCCAGCTTGTAATGAATGGTTTTTCAGCAGCCTGGGATAGAAGCTGTGTTTAAGTGCTGCTGTTCTCTCCTGAGTGCCTCTTAGTCGCTTCTGAGTGCAATAGGCTGTGTGTTTGGGTGGCGTTCGGCTCACTAAATGTAGATATCTACATTTGGCTCCCTTTACTCATGGCACCCTAAAGCAAGTCTGGCAAACCTTGCCTTAAAAGTGCTTATTTCCCTCAGCTATTAGAGGAGCTTTGTAGAACTCAAAACCTCTGTGTCTGGGTGCGAAAACATGGCCACAGTGTGGGCCCCTGGCCAAATCAAACCTCAGTTACTCAGGCCAGCACCAGCTGAGCACTTTTCAAGTTTTAAAGAGGCTATTTTTGACCTTTAAAGCCCTCACACCCCAGCAGGGAGCACTCCATTTCTCAGCTAATGCTGAGGTCATGCTGCTCCATACTCGGCAGATATTTCTCCATGGTAGGCTAGGCTTTGAGCGAAATAATTAGTTCTGGCCTTGGGCTGAGGTTCAGCCATATTCAGGCTACTGTTGTCAAGATTCACAAAGAGGGAAGTGATTTATAAAATCTGTTTTATTAGACATCGGCTGGGTGGATTTGAGCATGCACAGGTCCCTATGCTCGGGTGTCTAAAGAAATCTGTGGCCCCAAATCAAGCTCTGAGTGAGCTTTAGGCCTGTTCAAGGGCTACAACCTCCATTACTATAATTTTTTTCTGAGGGTTAGACAGCTGAAGCGCACCCCAGTTGGGCCTTTGGCAGATTTTAGGTGGTTTGTTTTACTCTTTCCACCATTCACTCCTGTCAGAATCCCTGCTGGTTGGTAATTTCCTTCCCTACAGGGACCTGAGATGGTGCCGAGGATGGCCCAAAGCCCCTCGGAGCCAGGGAAAAGATGCTGCCCAAACTTCAGAGGAATTTCCTACAGCATCCAGAAGCCTGCAAATATATCTTTAAACATACATTCTCTAGTAGCCTTTGGCTATAAATTCTTTTTTCCCTGTCAGCTCCTTGCAAACCTCCGGGACCTCTAACTTGTCAAACTCTTCCTACTTTCAATCTTAATGAACCTTCAGCTGAACAGGCTTCAGCTGAACTTCCTGATGAAAGCAAAAAGGAAGCAAACATTTCCAGCCTGAGCCCTTGCAAGTTATAAACTGCTTCATAGAGTTATAGTGCCACCCTATTTTAAGAGCTCATGTTTAACTTATATCTTGCTGCAAGTTAGAAAAGAAAATGAGCAGAAAGCAAAAAACAGGCATTCTCAGCTGGGATACGGGCCTTGCAGGGTGCTGAGGAAGGGCTGGAGTGTTGGGGCTTTTGCAAATGACCTGTGATAGCAGATCAAATTGCAGATCTGATTGCCCCAGCCTTACTCAGAGGCCCAAATGCTTTGCAGCCCAGACTCCCTTTGGAAAGGGCCATCAGGAGAAGTACTCAGAAAGGAAAGGAGCTAGGAAGTATCTCATCTAGGGTGGATGGCACCATGGTACTAATCTGTTAGAACTAAAGTCAAATGAGAAGGCAAATCCTTTTCCTCCACATTTGCTCGTAAGTGCAGCTTTGCTAATTGACTATGAAGAGTGATTAACAGGTCATTTGGGAGTCATCAATACCCTGAGCTGGGAGGTTTCCTGGCTTTCCCTCAGTTATTCCTGTAAGAGGGTCTGCCGCTGATTTTATATACAGGAACACCTATGTCCATGTGAGAAGAGCTGGGAACGTTGTCTTGGAAAGGACAAAAGTAGGGAGGGGGTGTTAAGGATCAATTAGAAGAGTGAGAAAAAAAGTGACTTTTGGAACAATGAGGTAAGCATTTTTCTTAGAGCCGTGCAATATGTATGGTTTCTACCTTGGACTCCAGTTATTAGGGCATAGATGGTCATGTCCATTCCCACGGAGAGGTCTCTATGCTGCAGCTTCCTCCATGTTGCTTACAACATGCTTACAGTCTGCTCCTTAAAGTAAGTGATGTTCAATTTGAAGGGCAAATTTTCAGGGGGTTGCTTTTATGTGTGCAACTAATAGGGCAGGTATCTGTTTGTACAAGAATTTTTATTTTATTTAGCTTCTTGGAGTGACAGCTGTAGCTATAGAAGATGTTTTTTGTTTTATTCTCTTGAACAATTTTACTTACCTTTTTTAATTGACACACTTATGTTAGCTCTCTGGAGCTACTGGAATTGACTAAAATTTATTAGTTTCATTAAAAAATTGAAAACTCTTTTTCTTAGTGAATATTTCCTACAGAACTCGATAGGCAGCAGACTGCTGGGGCTACCACTGGTAACCGTAGTTAGTGCTTCTGCCATCTACTGCTCATTTCTAGGAAACCCTTCATATTTGCTCTCTTCTCAAGAATTATAGGTACTAACTGTAGTTATTCAAATCTGTTGGTTAGCTAGAGACTTAATAGCTCTGTTTGTACCCTATTGTTTAGGGATGGCTTTAACTCTAGAAATTGCCTTGCTAATTGATTTCAGGATGGATTTGCTTGTGACTGAGGAATTATTTTTGTAGTGTCTTTTACATGACATAATTCTCAAGAGCCATATTGTGGTTGGGCTTTACTATTTTTTTAAAGCTAAATAATATGTGTGTTGTAATTAATCCCAGTTAAGTTTTTCTTCAATAATATCGATTCTAATAATTTAGCTGACCTTATTAGACTATTTTTGTATTTATTTTTTTTTAACGATGTTACTAATCAAATGTTTCTCTGATGCTGGATGCGTGTAGGAGCTAAACTAAATTGCGCAGGGCAGACGAATAGGTCTGGCCATTTTGGGTAAGCCTAATATTTCATTGGCAGTTATAGAGGGAAGGTGTTCAGACAGCTGTATATCACGTCATGTGTTGTTCTGCCTGCCTTTGTTTCTCTGCGGTAGAAATCACACTGGGGTGTCTTTATCCCTGCTCTTGCGGTCTGCAGTGACCATGGGGGACTGCTTTTTACCAGTGCAGATTTGCTTGCATCACGGCTTAAAGGGCAGCTTGGGCTTCCTCAATGTTTCCTATAGCCCTGTGCTTTCTTTCCTGCCTGCTGAGACCTTTTCTGATGGTGTCCTTGACCTCTATTGCTTTTTCTGGAGAAACAGGCAGCTTGCGTGCGCAGCCTACAAATGGTCCTTTTCGCAATGGCCAAGATTCTTGCTCCGTTTCCAGCTGCCCCCTGTGATGATAGCTTAAAGGCTTAATTGCCTTTGTCCAATGCTTTGATACTAGATTGTTTTTGCAAACAATCTGTTTTGCCTAAATTAGTGGTTCCTCTCTCTTGCTCCTGTTTTAAAGAAACACACTTGTGCCTTCAGCTTCCCGCTGCTTGTCAGAGCGCAGCATGGGAGTCTCTGCAGGTGATTCTTGCTAAGGGACACAGTGCTGATGCCTGGACAAGGCGCTCCTGTGAGCCTTCTCTCCAGATTTCCACTGCTTCAGTTCACATAGGGCCACACAGCCCCCTGATTTGCCATATGACCCAGCTGAGGATCCTGGAGGGGTGAGACTGAGCTGTGCAAGAGGAGCAAGCTTCCTCATGTGGTGGTTTTTAACCACAGCAGGAGAAGGGAAGGACAGCATCTAATCTGAGCATTGTGTGGTTGCATAGTCTCTCTGGGTTTTTACCGTAAATCTTCAAGTCCTTTGGGTCCCTTGTTTGCTTGGCAGGGAAAGCTCTTTTCCATCAGTCACCTTCAGCAAAAGGACCTGTCAAAGGCCAGCATGGCCTTCAGCTTGTTGCTGAAGGAAACCAAGCGTCCTAATTAAGTGATTTCAGAACAAGGAAGCCTTTTCATTAAGCTTGTTTTGTAGTGGTTTTAGAAAAGGTCCTCAGGAAAAGTCCCTGTTAGGGAAATTGGCCCTTCCCTGTTATAAGGATTTGGAGGGAGCATAAAGTGGCAGTGTTCTCCTCCTACCTTGGGCCTGTTATAAACAGCCACCCACGGGAGGCAGAGCGGCAAGAAGGTCCTCGTGGTTTCCCACAGCTATCTCTGATGGTGCTTTTGGAGCTTATAGTGGGCTGGGCCAGGCACTGAGGACAGGTGAGAGGATCTCAGTCCAACATTCAAACCTCAAGAGGAGCCTTTAACTAGTTCATGACTTACGGCTTAACGTAAAGGAAGTGCTGCTGCAGGAAGGGGAGAGAAAGAACTGCAGTAGTTGCTACCGTCTGCAAACGTTTGTCTTGGTCTTCATGTAAAGTCTTCCTACTTCCCACTGGATGCATGCGGGGGGTTCAGACTTACTCCTGTCCATTCAACAGGAGACAGATCTTCTGTTTGGAAGATGGGGAAAGCGATACAAGGAAAAAGCGTTTGCAATCATTACTACCTAGTCACTTTTCCAGGCTAATGAAAGCACATATATTCATATCTTCATTGTCTTAGAACTTAATGATGAGTCAGGAAACAGTACTAAAAATAGTATACACTCTGAAAGAACATTTACCTGTGTTCATTATAGCTGATAAAGTGGGATAACGGGCGTTAGACACTGATGGGACGCGAGAAAGGAAGAAATCAATCTTTTTATTGCTTTTTCAGATATACATGTTTTTAATTTAAAGTGCAGCACTTGAAGCAGTTCTTATGTTATTTATTATTATTAGATACAAAGTCCCTCCCAGCGTATTTATTTTGTTAAATTACCCATCTAAAATTAAATATAGCCTCTTGTCAGTGTTTATGTTCTTCTGCCTATTCTCATAATTATTATTGAAAAGAGTTGGCTTTCAAGTTAACAGCATGTGGATTGATAAGACAGCCATTACTGTGCTACCTGAGTGCTTTTTAGAAAGCTTAGCTCAAGGGCAAATCGTGTTTCCTCCGAAGTGTGCTACGCAGAATCCCCAGCCTGCAGCATGCTGCTGAAGGTGATATTTGTAACTGCAAAGTATTGCTGCCTTGCTAGTATCTGAAAAACTTCTGAAACTGCTGACTCCCAAGCACTGGAAATCAGTAAGAATGGCTGCTTTTAGGACCGCACAGTGGGGTGCCTCCAGTTCTGATTTTCGAACCGCCAGAGGGTTTTGGCTCCTTTCCTTTCTGCTCCTCTCTTCTGCTCTCCGATGCTCTTCTCGTCATCCTCAGGTAATAGATGCGGTTAGCCTCTGGGTAGGTGACTTTGCAGAGTGGGAGTCTGTAGATGGCTGGGTTGTCTGAAGCGAGCAGCAAAAAGAGAAGTGCGGAGAAGCAAAAAGGCCACGTGCAGAGTGGTAATCCCAGCTGGGAGAGGAAATGACAGACAGATGCATTTTGACATCTCTCTTTGCATGTTCCCTTTGCTCACTTCTGCCTGTTCCTATATTCTTGCAGCTGAGGAGCTGGGAGAGTCTGTGCTTCCCTGAGGACAGTTCTGACACAGGACATGCTTTCCTCAAATCCCCCATACCGGATCCCTGTTCAGATGCAGAGGAGGATACCCAGATGCAGGTAGCTACTTGGAGGTGGTTACCTGTGAGCTAAGGTCCTGCTACAGTCAAAGGAGAGCTAGTCAGTGCGATCTGGGAAGTTATTCTGCTAACCAAATGTCAATTCAGCAGCTCAAGCACTGGTATCCTGTGATACAGGAAATGTGTTGGGCAATATAAGGCATCCTACACTGGACACTTGGCTCCTTCTGGAGGTGTAACTGTAGGCCAGGATGGTGCTCAACGGCAATATTTAAGCAATTGAATCAAGCTCCAGAGCTCTGCTGGCTCTGCTGAAAGCCAAGGCACCCAGCTCACATGCAGACTTTTAAGTGCTCTAATCCACAAACCAAATCCCACTTTTGCAGCCTGCAAAATACCATTTACTGCAAGTACCGGTCACATAGATTCACTTTCTCACTGTCCTCAACACCCGTGCGTTACTGGCATTGAGTCCAACCCGCTGTCTTGCTGCGTGACCCCACCTTTAAACTTCACTAAGGATCTGGCAAAACCAAGATCCTAAGGGAAAAAAGCAGCAGGTTTAATTAGGTTCAGGTGGGCAAATGAAGTTGATTACAAAACTATAACTTTTGGGTCTCTCATTTTCCAGGTCTTTCATCTTCAGAAAAAACCCACAAAACAAAAACCCCAAAGGTATTCTGCCTCTGATGCATCCTAGAAGCAGGTGTGGCTTAACAAAGCCGCCCTCTCCAGGAACCTACACTGTATTGACAGGATGCCAGATGAATACGTTTAATGTGTGAAGCTGCTTGTTTTAAGTATGCTTTATCTTTTAAGTTGCCAAATCAATTTCCTTAAAATATGGTTTTGCTTTGGTCTCTCAGAGAGACCTTAAAAAGAAACAAAGCTTGACAGTACTAGCTTCAGCTTTCTCTGAGACCGGTATGTTTGGACAGCTCAAAAGACAGGAAAAAATGTATTTTCCTCCTCATTAAACTAGTTCTCTTATGCAGACCAAACTTGAATAATAATGGAGGTAGGGGAGAAAAAGACCTCAGAAGAAATAAGTAAAACTTTAGACCACTGGAATTTGCTCACAAGCATTGCATGCAACTGAATGTTATATCTCAAACTGAGTTGTTGCTGGAATTCACGAATACATGCACACTCCTACTGTGAATCAGATGCTTTGAAGATCTTTGAAATCTTATTATCAATTGTAGCATCTGTAAGTGCACAATTCAGCTGACACAGGCGCTGTACAAAATCCGCCACTGGCTGCAGAATTCACACTTCAGTACTGCCAAATCTGTCAAGGAAATGCTGCAAAACTCTCCCTGTCCTGATATCACAAGAGAGCCAGAATGTATTTAAAAAAACAAAACCCCCAACTTACCACAGATAGTATATTAGTAAGAGCTGCTCCAGAGTAGGCACAAAATAATGCTGGAAAAAAAGACAAAAGGTAGCTCAAGGTGGAGAAAATCTTGCTCATCCCTCCAAAGAAATTATCAGAAATAGTAATTCTTTCCAAATGCCCTGTAAGGTATCTCCCCAGCTACCTGTGGCGAGATTAACATTGACATCTTCACTAACTGTTGAATTTTGAAGTGCTGCATCTGCCTGTTTGAACTAAATTTGGCCCAAATTTGCTTTGTTTAGATGGATGGTGAATGAAAAGCGCTCTATTTTGTCAAGAACAGGTGACAAGTGGTATTTCTTTTATGCATTAATACAATTTGACCTGTGTGCAGTGGGGGAATCATGGCCACTCTCCACCACTCTGTGCCAGGGCATTTGGCTAGGTGGATCTTAAACTGCACTGAACCATGTGCGACAGCTCTGATGTTCTTATGAGACACTTCCTCTAAGGATATGCGGAGTTATGAAATGGCTGCTTCTGTGAATCTAGGTTGCTAATCCGTTAGAAGGCCTGCTTGTGGCATAGCCGCCTTCTCACAGAAACTGTACTTCTGCCCTTTCTCGATGCTTCCGTGTTAAGAGTGCCTAAAAGCCCTTCTTGCGTTTGCAACTTGGACGTCCAAAGCTCATATCTGATGCCATCATAGAAATAACTCTTGTGCAATACCTAGTTTTGCAGCAGAGGTGTAACCGTCACTCTAATCCTACACAGTTCATAGATTGCCTGGCTACATGGATCTTTTTGGCTTCCCTTTTCATACAAGATACCTACCACAGGCAAGGGCCAGCAGATGAGTCTGCCAGGTCAGGGCGTAGAACATGCCTCCAATCGCAATGCAAGCAAGCGCACAGTTATAATTGTGTAAGCCGAGGTAGATGCTGTCAAACGGTGTTGCAATGCTCAACGCTGCAAGGCAAAAAGCAGTGCTGTGAGGTCAGGTATGAGATACATCTGCAGGAGCTGTCATTTGCTGGGAGGCCGTTGTGTCTTCCCTCTGACGCCTATGCAAATTTTACTGTGCTCACACTCACATAACTGCCGCGTGCAGAGACGGGATGGAGTCAGATGGGGCTCGTTATTTTGGAGCTGTGATGATGTTTCTGGAGCTGGAGTTTGGCCCAGTCTCAAAGACTCTTTCAGGCAAAACTTTTTGGACGCCTTAAGCATGTCGTAGTTAGTCCCCCAGATGCCCAGATGGAAGATCCAGCCAGAGTATAGCATGACCTTCTCACCTGGGTGTCCTTCACTGAAACTGGGGCTCACATTGATCATTTAAGCTTCATACATACCCTGCTCTTGAAGATCAGAGGAACAGCTGAGTGCCTTATGTGGGAGTAAGCAGGATTTTTCCATCTCTTCCTAGTAACCTCTGCTCATATAGTGGATATGGTCACTCTGTCACTGATGTGGAAATTCTCCAGTGGGACAGCAGCTCAGAGTCTGCTCCAAACCTGACCGCTTAAGTGCTTCTGCAAGATTTTTCACAGGCTTGAGTGCCAGTAAAAAGGACAGCACAATACGCAGTGAACGGGCCACTGAAAGGTGCTCCCAGCTTTTCTCAGCTGAGTGTAGCTGTTTGTGTCACTGTTAAGATTAATACATTTCCCACTGCAATGTCCTCCTTTGTTTTCTGTTCCACATCACCATGCCTGTCCCCAAGTACTTTCTCTTGATCCTTCTTTTCAGGATTAAATGTCAGACCTGTATAAAACTTGCCAAATGCTCCTAGCCATACAATCTGTGTATAGTTGTGTTTCAAAATCCAGACACGAGGCAGTTCGCATCTTGTACAAAGCATTTCAGAATACAAATCAAAACTCATTAGTGGATGACTGTGCCTTCTTTTTTTTTTTTTAAAGTAAGTTTCTCAGACTACACTTATTCAATCACATTTTTTTATTACAATTGATCAAATGGATAGCAGTAATCTTGCCTAACTTCAAGGGTCAGATTCATCTCTCAACTCGAGGTTGTTTCTCTGATTAGTGGAAAGACAGGCCTTTGTGGACGGGATTCATGTAACCTTTTTTTAGATGTCTGCAGCAGGATAGGACAAACTGTATCCTAGAAGAAGCTGATCTGACTGATCAGCTCTGAGGCAGACATCTGCATGCCTGTGGTGTCAAGAGATCAGTGGAGTTATTTCTCTAAGTTTCTTTGTCTCCATGGGATTCATCAACTGCAATGGTAGGAGGGTAAGCAGGGTGGAAGAAACCACCTGCATGATTTAAGCGTACTAACAAATTCTGAGCTTCAAAATATAAATCTACTTTGGTTCTTGCCTTCACCATGTTGGCTAACCTTCACTAAGACTTCCAATTCACAGCCAGTTTCAAAGATGGAGTGTAGACCCAAGTATGAAAGTACGAAAGCTATGGAAGTGTGGAGTCTGGACAGAGTTATATAATGGCTTGGCTGAAGATACCCTAGATACAAAAAATACTAGATACAGTAAATACTACTTCTTACCTGCCAGCATCCCTACTGTTGATCCAATTGCAGCATGTAAGCAAATCAATGGGGACGAGATAAGTAAAGCAAGGAGAACGATGCCTCCAGTCCAAGGGTTTTCACAACCGTATACTTGACCGACCCCAACTGGTATGGATTGCAAGAGCTGCAGCAACCAGTAGAAAAGAGCACGTTAGGGTATCCCTGTACTCAAGAGGACACAGCAGTTATTTTGTCAAAGCTATCGGTTAGGAAGGAAGTAAACCTGGCTCTGTTGGACTGTCAGGTGAATGTAGGCACACATATTCTTCAGACCACAGTTAGTGCACTATTTGGTCTGAACTTCACCAGTCCAAGACAGACTTTTCTTTCTTCTGGAATGTAGTAATATGGTTCCTTTTTTGAGGAAGTGAAAGCAGAGAAGGGACCAGCTCAGGAGAATGTCTCTGCAAAAATGAAAGCCTGGGAAAACTATTCATGATGTCCTTCATAGAGACTGTAGTGGCCTCTCCTAGCTCTTGGTACTGAGTATGTCAGTGTGTGTTATGGTATGAAGAAAAGACCAGATTTTTTCCTGTCCCCGCTCTCTCTGGGGTTGAATAGGTTTGCTCTGGAAGGGACTTTAGTCCAATATTCCTAGAACTTAGCACATAGTACAGTGGTTCCTCAAAGTTTTAAATAAATTCAGCTGATCAGAGTGACTTGAAAAGACATGGGGGGGGGAGAAAAAAAACCTTACTGTGTTGCAATTGAACAAGATAGCTCTATCAGATAGTAGGTACAGCTGAGTATGTGATGTGATCATCTAACAATGACATAGGAGATAAGTGGGTAACCCCAGTATACCTCCTAACATACCTGAATAACTTCTGGGCTAACACATGGTCCTTCTGAATATGAAGCTGGAGAGTAGCCTTACTTGTGATTCTAGTGTTTGTGCAGACAAGAAAGAAAGGATAGGAAGGAAAAACAACTACATAAGAAGTATATAAGCAGGAGGTGCTGCAAACCCTTTTGGCTAAAGGCTAGAAAATAAGGAGGCCATGGTGGTACAAATTAGCTCAAATCAGCGTGCCCCACCATAGCCCTTTCTGGGGCATCGGCCAAGGCTGTCCCTGGGGCTATTATGGCAGTGTCATTTGTTAACGACTGACCTGATTTGTTTCTGTGAATTGTTACTGGTTGTGCCTATCTTCTGCCCACTCTGCCCCATGCAGAGTTGATATCCAGAGCTGAAGGCCTTCATGCTCACCTTTTTAATGAAATAAGATAAATTGGGTGTTGTAGGGAAGCTTACCTGGGGCGCACTAATTGCAGACCAGGTAATGTTGGGTGCTGATGTTACAGGCTGGATGAGGGTTGTAGGGAAGAAGGGGTTGTAGTGTCCTGTGGCTGCCAGATACAAAGTTACTGCAATATTGAAAGGCAAAGTGAAAACAGGAAGGTCCCCTTTACTGAAAACTGATGCCAAAGCACTGGACAGGACTGGACTGAAAAGAAAAATGAAAAAGAAACAAATATAGCTTTTTTGTAGTGGTTACAGTGGTGAAACATCCTACCACGTTGGTCATAACCTCATGACGTAATTGTACACTGCCCAATACTTCTGACTTTATATGGAATTTTCTGTGAACTGAGCTTCCTTCTTAAGAAACAGGACAGAGTCTATTCAGTAGGTAAAGTATTTCGGGTGACCCTCAAATGATTTAGAGACCAAACAAATGCTAAGAAGCATTTGAAATGCTGTATATGACTTTACCCAAAGGTCTTGGCTGTAGAAGCTGGGATATAAGTTCTACAACATCCGCTTTACTCAGGAGATTTTCAGACTGCCCTATTTCCAGTTGAAGCGGGCGTCCTGCATGAATGGCCTTTCTGAGAGCAAATTGACAAGGTATTATCTGGTTCTTACAGGGCTCAGAAAGCATGTGGGATGGAGTGAATAGCCACGTCCTGTCCTTGATGGAAATGGGCCATGTTCTGTTGGTTTCAGCCTAGCTTTCCTGATATGTGTGAGCTGAGCCACTCTTATGGTCCACCTCCAAGTAGGAGTGGACATTGCACGCTTAAAATTGAATTTAGACTTGAATACATTTTTCAAGAAGCTAGATTTGAGTCCTAGAAGGTTGTAAGCTGGTTCTAATTTAAAAAACTAAACTATTTGGCGTTTCAAAAGCAACATCTTGTGTCCTGTTGTGTGGATACCATCAGTGAGAAAATGCTTTGTTCTCCCTGTATAATCTCAGATGAAGCCTATTCTTTTATGACAAGTCCAGCTTCCAGAGCAGTTTACAAATTTCCTTGCTTGTAGTTGTAGAAAAAAGTCAGCCCTTCTGTGACAGTGGTGTCCTATTTTTCTCTGTTGAAATACATAATTTCTGCCAGTTGTACATCTTGTCAGGGAAGAAAAAAGAAACTATTTCAAAAATGCTGGCTTTTAAACTTGAAATTTAAAATATCAGTTGGAAAAAAATCACTGAAATGTCTAATTTTAAAATCTCTCAGCTCTCCCCCCTGAGTCTTACGGTCTTTAAAAAAAAATTTGAATAAAAAAGCCTCAAGGAATTTTGGCAGACAAGACAGACTAAACATTCTTGCAACATGTTCTGGGTTTTGAGAGGCTTTTACAAAATGACCTTCATTCAGAGTGACTAAAGAAAAAAAATATGAAGAAATCTTATTTTAGAAGCAGTGAAATGCAATAATGATTTGTATCTTCTCACTAACAATGATTAAAATGTAAACCTGGAATTAATTTCTATTAAGGCTGTTAAATGGATTCTGTAGTGCTGTTAAGGTCTGTCTTTAAAAATGGTAAACTTGATTTTAATCAAGGTTGTTGTCTGGCACTCAAGAGTTAGTTGGAGGAATTCATTCAGCTCATGACTGGTTGCATATCTCAGACAGGGAAGATTCAGTTCAGCCGGAGGGAAAGCGCCAGGTCATTTCAGCACCTGCATACATAAGAACCATTTGTGTCGGGCACAATTTCAGCCACCCTGAACGTGGCCTGCTGACGAGGGGCATCTGCAGAGTGAAGCAGGGCAGCTTTTCCCATGTGCTATAATTGGTGTTGTGGATTCGCTCAGCCTCATGCTGAAACCCTTCAAGCTCTGTGCATTGATGAATGCCCTTTCCAGTACCACAGTGGAGTGGTGGAAGCTGTGTCACAGCCCACAGAAGGGGACTACTTGGAGGGGGCTGGTGTAGGGGACTCACAGAGAGGACCTGCATATATTGGGGTTCCTCATTCTCCAGGAAATCATCTCTAGAGGAGGAGTGACTGGTATTTGGGGCAGAGAGAAATGATGCTTACCAGGCCATGGATATAACCCCCACAGGAGGTAGAAGCCACCAGTAGTAATCCCCTTTGTCAGAGTAGACAGCCATAAGCAGTCCCACCAAGATCCCGTTATAGCCATACAGCCCTGCTGCAATGGCTGACCTGCAATCGAAAGAAATGCGTACAAGGAAGCAAGCACTGCTGAAGGTGATCTGTCCCAGGGACTCACTCAAATGCAGTTTCTAAGTGTCCTGCTCCTGGTAAAGCGACCATAGGGAAAGGATGAAAGAGTAGCGAGGTAGCTGCTGTATGCTCAATTTGCATTGGTGTGTGAAAGGCATGATTTGAAGCCAGCTAAATGGCGATGGGGTACCTGGAGTGAACAGAATACCTGCGAGGTTGAAATGATGGGGTATTTTAATGGTAACCAGAGAGGTATAATGATCTGCTCTCACAGCTACAATCAGCTATTATGACAGGCCAGTTCCTCAGGGACCCTTGCACTGGGACCATAGCGCTGTCGTCACCTTACTGCCATCCACAAGCTGGTCTGCTGGCCTTTAGCTGTGAACTTGGCACTTGGGGACTTCTGTGCCCGACACTGTGAAGGTGCCACTGTCTGCCTCTCCCAGAGGCAGAATGACCCATGGAGTCTTAAAACAGGAGACAAGCAGGAAAAGAGCAAACAAAAAAAATCTCTCAAGTCTGCACCTGCAAAACCCCCTTCCCTAGGCACAAAAACCATTTCAGGAGTCAACGACTGAGAAAGAACAGGAACCCAGAAGTCACAGTTGGCTTCCCTGGGGCAACATGGAGCGGAGTGTGTATGCCTTTATGTGCGTGGGGCTGCGGGGGTCTTCTGAGGAGCTGGAGGTGTTGTGAAGGATAGGAGAGATGCTATGGGACATGTGGAGACATTTAGAAGCCTGTAAGGGACACTGTATGCTGCAGAAAGTACTGTGTGGTGGGTAAGAGGGCTTCTGTGAGGGCCTATAGGAGAGGACTTGTTGAGGCAGAGTGAGATGTGTGACCCAGTGCTGGAGGCATGTTGAGTTCGCTGGCTTCCCTCACTTATCTGAGCTGGGTGTTCCCTAACCTAGGCCCTGACAGTGTTTGGTCGTTGGGTGCCTAGCTCATGTCTAAAACCGCCACCATTTCCCCCAAAGCAGAGTCTCCTACCTAACTCTCCATGTGGGTGGGGGGACAAGGTCTCCTCTGGAATGAGGACGCCCCAGCTTCAGCTGCGGAGGGATTCAGAAACAGAGCTGACCTGCACATGATGGAGACCCGGGGGAAGGGAAGGGAGCCACGTGGCACTGTTGTGTGCTCAACCGAGCCACCCTGGCCTCATAACAGCAGCATATACTGTTTCATCTCTATGGCATAGGCTGCAAGCCCCACCTGTCCACTGACCTCCTTGGAGAGCAAAGCTACACAAACACATGGACTATAACCCATCAACGTGATCTTGATAATGTGATGATCAATTTTTATTAAGTGCCCAGACACAAGGTACCACCTACCTGTCCTGACTGAGGATCAGGGCTGTTAATGTCGAAACGGCTGTCCCAGTACAGCCTGTGAGCATCCACCAGGGATTCTGGATGAAAAGCCCCACTAAAATGATTATCCCGCTGAGAGGGTTATTGACAAACATCACCTGAGAGGTCCCTCGCAAGACCCAGTCCACGAGCTGAACCATTAGGGGTTTATCTGAAGGAAATCAAATAAAAGCCCTAAAGATAAAACATCACTGCAGCACTCACAGCACACTTGGCTTTACAGTCACTTGCTGGCCACAGAATAGAGGCAAAGTATCAACAGTACTGTAAAACTGGTCTCTGATTTATTACTGTCTGAACATATTTTGCATCTGGCACTTGAAAGGCTAACAGGGATGGACTGGGCACTGCTATGAAGTTTGTGGAGGGATTAATAAAAATCGGTTTATTTATGATGGTCAAAAATAGTCTTTCTTGCATGGTAGATTGCATAAGATTCTGCTATAAATTTAATGAGGAAGCAGACCCACTTCTGTGTATAATTCAGCTGCAGAGAGACACTTAGGCAAAGACTGAAACTAGTCTGTATGTCTATAGGGAAATATGAAAAGAAAACACTTCTACTGTTAGGGAAAAAGCCAGACTCAGAACATTGAGGCACATCATATATAGGTGATGGGTTCAGGCTTGTAAAGGTGTTTACTTCCCTAAAAATGGACTTTAGGAACTAAAGAACCTGAATTAAGAGAATAGTTACAGTTCTGACCGTATTCAGTGGAAAGACACAGTTTGGCCTGTACAAGATGGGAATTGCTCTCCAGAGAAGACTATTGAATCTGGATAGAGCAGAGGCAAACAGGTGCTGAGCTCGGCTACTCAGGTGAGTGCATAAGGGCAGTGGGATGTATATGGGGCTGGCGGCTGCCTGTTGGAGGTTATCTAGCTGCAGTGCTCCTCATGATTTCATTGTGCAGAGAAGGGTCTCAGTAGCACGGCAGTAACTCCTTACTGCTGATTCTTCTATTGCAAAATGACTTGAGGTCTCTTAGCACCACGCTTCTGGGAAGAGCGTAACCGTTTCTGTACTGCTGTGCATTATTATGCACGCTGTAAGGAGATTTGAATGTGAGAGAAGCTCTATTTGTGAGTAATATAGCACCTGTTCATGAAACGTTTATGTGCATCTTTCATTCATGCTCTTAAATATTAAAATTAATTGAATTACTCAGCTACATTAATAATATATGATTGACTAAATTATTAATTGGGCATGGCACAAAGTGTCAGGCTACTTTTTAATCAGAGCTGCCTTATTCCTAATAACAACCCTCCCTTCTCTTCTACTTTCATTCTGTGTTGTATTTGCACTGGAGTCTCCAGTCTTGTTTTCTGAGGACAGTAGCCTGGATAAAGGAGCTTTGAAGGGCTGGATACTGTTCTGGTAGCTGACTTCTTCAGCATCCCCTTGGGCTGGTGCTAGCTAAGGCACTTCCGGGACCTATGTGGTCGGGGAACTGGACAGGTACAGTGAGGGAGGAACGTGTTCCTCAGAAGAGGAAAAAGGACTGGGCTCATTTGAAATAATTTTTACTGATGAATGGTGTTGAGTTGTGAAATATATCAGCAATGCTGCTGGTTTCAGATACAAGTATTAACGGTAAGTATTCAAATATAACTGGTAGGGAGGGGCAGGAGACTTTTCAGGACACTGAGTAACAAAAGCTGTCTACCAACTATGGACAACTGGAGCACCAACCGGAGTTGGAGTAGCAGCTCCTACCTACTGGAAAAGAGAAAGCAGGAGGAGAAATCCTCCTGTGGTTGGGGATCACACTGTGGGCCAGCCAAGCTCCCTGCCTGGGGGCATGTTGGCTGCCACATCCCCAGGAATAGCCACTGCGCAGGCAGATGGTATGCAGCTGTCTCTTATTTCTCTTATTTCTCTTCTGTTGCTGGAGTTGTACTGTTAATGCACCCAGTCTTGACACAGCACCCACGGTCTTACACGGCATCTCAAAAGCTCCGTATCCTTAATAATTCTGGGTAACAGGGACCATCTGGTCATGTATTGTTCCTGTCTGGACAATAAAACTTGGAGATCAGTACTTGCTTTGTATTTTATAGCTACATAACACCCACAATGCTTATTGTTCCCCCAAGGCTGGTAATACGAGAGCATTTCCCTGCACAATCGGGAGTCAAGTCCCCACTGTCAGCCCACACATGGATGAGAGGACATTCATTGATCCAAACCATTTACAAATGAAACCAACTCCCCAGTCCTGATATGTAATTGAGGGCACTGCTTTAAGAAACATGATGATAGTGACACATGACTGATTAAGCGTAAAAAATTTCTTTCCCCTCTGCTAAATTATGTGTGCAGTCACGGAAAGGGCAAGAGTGTGCAGTAGGATTCCCTTTCTGAAAACAAAATGATTTGGGCTGCGAAGGCAGAAGTCCCCAGTGAGGGGGACTGACCATGCCCCTCTGCTCCCTGTGTCGGAAAGTGCTGACAGTGGTGTAGATGACCCCCCCTGGCTGTTCCTACCTGGAGAGTCCCAAACACATACCCCACACTTACCTTTCATCCAGTCTCCACATTCTTTCATTTCTCCTGTGAGGTAACCAAAAAGTTGGTAGATTTGCTTTCCGCTTTTCCACAGCAGGTCCCGGGCTCTTGGCTCCTTCTCTGCATGCGGCTTTCTCTCACTGGGACATTCAGCAACAACAATTTCTCCAAGCTCCATCTCTTCAGGCAGTGAGAAGAGGGAACTGTAAATCACAAAGCCTGTATTAGAAAACCTGTTCGGTTGTGCCCTGACAAGTTTCTGCTGTAGTTTAGAGCCCCACGATGATGTTCTTAGTCAAGGAGGGGATTATTCACTGGAGAAGGGACATCCATGCGGCCATGACCTTGCCTGAAGCACTACCAGGAGCTGTGTGCGCTATGGTCTGTGGCAGCAGTGTGCCTGCTGCCTTGATGTCCACCCTTGGAGACTAGGATCTGGATATGACCCACTGATGTTAAGGAGCCACGGCACAGAGCTGCAGTTGGGAAGAGGGACTTGGTTTGTAGGTGTCCCACAGCACCGCACCCTGATGCAGCTTGTGATGGGCTACTGATAGGCTGCGAGATATATATATGCTGCACAACTGACTGATATCTGCATGCTAACCAGTGCTGCTTGGTCATGTAAGGCTACTCTTGATGATACTGAGGAGGGAGCTTGTTGCTGTTCAGCTAGGAGAGAGCCTGAGGGATGTGATGCAAGGTGCCAGTACAGCAGTAGACAGCAGGAGATCAGAAAATACCGGAGAAGAGGCCAGGGCCTGTATTCCTCTTGATTCTGAGTCAGTGCTCTCATATATCACAGCAAATCTGTGGTCTCCCTTGGTCTCCCCCATCTACTTTTGATCATCAAGAGCAAACGTGGTAGCAGCAAAGTATTGTGCCGAAATCCACATCCAAATGTAGCTCTGGACAAAAAAAAGCACTGATCTGCATGGATTCATGGCTGTATGCTCTTTAAGTAGCAGGTGAACGTCCAGGCAGGATCGTGGGTTTATTAAACTCCTAATTGCAATTGCAGGGCTCTATTTATTAAAAAGCCCATTAAGGCATAAACCTGTAAGATAAAATATACTGCACTGCACCCCAGTGAGCTACGTTGCAGGTTATTTTTCGCAAAAACGGCATTGCACTTTTCAGGGAGTTTGGCCTCAGCTGCTTTGGCGTTTTGCTCTGATTGTTTTGGAGCTGTGTGGCTCCATTTCCAGGCGTTGAACAAAGTGGGCAGTGTTGCAGAGAGCTTGCTCTGTGTTTTGTGGAATATGGGCACCACCTTCTGGTGGGAGTCCGGTTTCTGGTAGCTTGAACAGGCTGGCTCTCAGCGTAAAGCCTGTAGCAGCAGGCGGGTAGGATGAGGAGGGATGCGTGGCTGGAGGGAAGGATATTTTGCAAGGAGGAACACTGACAGACAGGTAGTAAAAATATCTATGGTTCTGGATGCACAAATAAGAGGGCTCTTGAACATCCCTAGAGGTTTTCCGTTCACCCCTGGCAGCATAGTGTTCAGTGCAGCCCTGGAGATGCATTGCGCAGCTCTTGTTCTCTAGTGCTTTGGCTCTCTCTGCCGGCAGCTTGTCCCCACCGCAGCAAGAGTCTTTGTAATGACCTTGTGCACAAGCGTCAGCCTCAGGCTGGATGTACTGGCAAGCAAGGGAATTAGGTGTACCTGTAAAACGTGAACCGAACTTGTGCTCAGTTTACTTGATCCTAAGGCGGTGGCAGATTATAGGAGGCAGTGAGCCTTCCTTCTTTGTAATAAATAACAGATGTGGTTAGATAAGGAGCAGACACCATCAAAACCTCACTCCTCTTCTGCTACTGACGTCGTGTGGTCCCGAGCAAGGCAGGTTCACAGGTCCTGCCCAGCTGCACTTAGTGCAGGAGCAAGAGAGGAGCAAAAGAAGAGGAAGGTGGTGGCTTTTTTTTCTTTTTGCTATCTGTAATCTGATTCTGGCCAGCAGCTGAGTCAAACTGCTGGTCAGTTTAGAGCAGCCTTGGTGACTGTCATTTCTGGCTAGCTGCTTGTGGATCTAAAAGGCTACTTTGCAGCCAGGAGGATATCAACACAGGGAATACTGAGCAGGAGACTCCTTTCTCCTCCTGTGTGTCTTTTAGGCTGAAGGAATCTGCTCATGGTCAAATATTTTGAGTCTACATCCCTGTGAGATAGGAAGAGACCAAGTCTCACAGGGGAATTGGGCATTTGTGCCTGGACACATCCCATAAACACTTGGCAGCGTAAGATGTGTCACTGCCTTGGGCTTCCTGGTAGTCAGTGTGGATTTAGGCCCCTTTGGGCAGGATTCAACCTACCTCAGCCCGAAATTGCCTCTGGGACTTCCCATACTTTCCAGTGACTGTAGAGGAAAACAGCAACAGCTCAACCTGAGTGTGTTAGTCAAACACCTCATGTTTTTTGGGAGGGAAACAGGTGCTGAAGGTCAACAGCGGAAGCAGAGAAGAGACTCTAGAGCAAGGATCAGGCAAGCACATGGAGAGGGTGCCACAGGGATTGTTTCCCCTCCAGCACTCTTCCTTTACATTCACATTTAGCTGATGCTGCTGATGTCAGAGATCTCTTCGGTATCGCCTGTTCTTTGTTTGCTCACGTTTCTTCCAGGAGACTTCTCCAAAGAGTTTAAGGGTAGAACGCAGGATAGGCTTGGACAGCTGCTGTGGGATCCACACAAAGGAGGCTGGGACATCTCATGGGATTCCCAGTCACGGGGACACATCTGTAGCAAAAGGTAGTGGCCCCTTTGTTGTGAACAACATTCACCACCAGCAGCACAGCGCAGCTGTAACCAACAGGGAGAATAAATACTGAATGGTCGTGTCTGTGTCTTTATAGCGTCTGAACATCTTACAGTCACTCTAATCCTTACTAGGAAAAATTACTGTTCTGTTTTACAAAGCAGAAACATCACTGCAAAGCTTCTAAAGGCCAGATTTACAAGACTGCCTAATTCCCACTGAAACGGAGATGTGGGACCTATATATTTTTAAAATTCTGGCCCTCTCTCACACATTTTAACTTTTAAGTGTGCAGTGCAAAGTAGTCACGTAAGAGCCCTTTGCGGTCAATATAGAGAAAGGTTAGCACCTCTGGAAAGTGATTCATAGCTTTTTTTTTTTTTTTCTTCTACACCTATCTTAGGCATGAACAAGGGGGTGGCTCTCTCTTTCCACTGGCTGTAGAGGGAGCCTGGTTGCTGAGCTTTTAGATGGCTATTTTTAGGTGAGAGACATTCCAGCCCAAGAGATTTTGCCAAGGTCAACCTTGAAGTTTATGGAGGAGGGATCTGGAGTCCCAGGCTAGTGCTTTAAATCATTGAGCCATCTGTAATAGACCTGTAATCTGCATCAAGAAGGGCACCTTTTTGAGGCTAAGAAAAAATCATACTCTTTTCCTATGATTTTTGTTTGCTATCTCTCTATGGATGAGAAGGGAACTAAATCCCTGCGTAGAAGACAGCAAGCTAACTCACCTCAGACAGTAAAGCAACCTAGGACAGAACTAGAGGAGATGGCTGAAGAATTACCAACTTTTTACAGACAGAAAAAGTGCAAAAAGAGATGTGGGGATGCCGAAACGCTTGGCACTGCCATGGTGGTGAACCATAGGGCCCTGCAGGAGAGAGGCTCAAGGGGTCAAGCAGGCAGAGAAGGTCCTTCAGGGCTCTGAAGGGCACAGTGATCTCTACAGGAACATCACCCTGGAAAGACACAGTTTCTTTGCAGCGAGCACCTGCCAATTGATAGGCTTATGCTCCGTGGTACAGACTCCATACTCCATGAATAATAGGGAAACCATTTGAACAATTAGCTAATTAGGGCTAATGAGAGCCTTATGGCACACCTAGGGCTGATGGAGAATTTCTTGAGAAAAGGGCATTTTGTCAGCAAACACTGGTTCATGAGCGTAGTGATGAGCTGTCCGGCTTTGTATGAACATTTCTCAGGCTGCAGTGTAATACCTGTTGGTTAGGGCCCATCTCTTGACCTGGCTGTGCCCATGCACTTCCAAACGCACTACTGTTACAGCATTCTGTAGTATGCAGAGTAACGATAGCACAGAGATTTGAATTTAGGCCTCCTAGCGGTCTTAACTCTTTGGCTTCTGTTCCTAGAGAAAACGTTCACTGGGTAGCACTGCAACACACCCTGAAGAAGTGCTTGAAGCCTAGCGAGACTGAGGGGCTCTCGTATTAATATTGTATAATAGAAAACTCCGCAATTCTCACTCCCGCCCACCTGCAGTTTGTCCCCTCCATCAGTTGACCAATGCAGTTCTGGGCCATGACTCAATTTTAAATTTTATGGAGGGAGGCAAGGGGACAGCAGAGAAGGTGTGGCTGGAGCTATGACTCTAGATTCATGCTCTCTCTACTGCTTGAATAGGCAGCTTAGCCTTTAAACTAAGATATCCGAAGCCAAGCCTGGACAATTGCTCTTTCCTCCTTTCCAGGTACTGCAAGCCTGTGCTTTAACCTCCCTCCTCAGAATGAAAATTCTAGCTTTAAAATTACAAGATATTTAAACAAGTCCTGGGTTTCCATGTTCGTTTTCAGGCTATTTCAGTCTTTTGTCATCGTGTTTGGTAGCTTTCCCACGTAATCACCCAGGCTAGAAACTTCGGTTATTTTTTAATGTGAGTCCCGTGGTATCACCTGACTCTAGGACATGGAGATTAAAAGAAATCAGCAGAGGAGCCAGGAAGGCTGAAAGCATAGAAGTGATCAGAAAAAGTTTTGACTTCAAGGGATGTGGCCTCGTAGGGACTTGAAAAGAAACAGTTTGTAAAAGCACGTTGCTCTCAGAGCAGACCATTAAGAAATAGAAAAGAAATCTGTAAAGAAATACAGTATACAGCTAGAGGGCAAAACTTTGGGATGGTGACAGAATGCTTGGCTGAGTCGTAATGATTTTACTGAGCAAGGCTCTACCAGGGATCAGCCCGTGACGCTGAAAATAAATGAACAAAGTAGGGCATTTCAAAATACTCACTGAGGCTGAATGCAATACAGTTGCAGAAAGCAGGTACAAAATGCTTAGCCACAGACTTTTAAATAAAAAAACAAATCCACCCAAAAGAAACGAAATACCCAAATAAACTTGTTTCCTATCACAGGCATTAAATGAACACACATTCCAAAGCAGTTCTGTCATATCTGTATA